GGGCATTTCGACAAATTACGTCTCTTCAGTGATTTTCATATCTTGTGTTTGGACATCTACAAAAATTACTTTGATAAAATCAATCGAAATTTATACACAAGTACACAAGTATTAAAAGGATGCTGGAATTCCTAAGTGACAACATCGGATTTTCTACATGTATGTAGTCTTTGGAGACCATATCATCCAACAATCTCGGAGGGCACTGATCGTGCTCCTTTATAAGTCGACCTGTTTTTATATTCCTATGAAGCAGAATTTATTCAGAAACTTCTGCACGACAAACACTTGCCGTGGGAAAAATATTGCATGTATTTGAGTTACTATGGTTGTAAGTCATGAATAATCTTGAAATGGCAGAAAGTAACGCCAGATATTTTGTCTAAGGAATTGAAGAAGTTGGTGTTTAAAATAAATCCAAGATGATGAAACTTAATTGAATGTATCTCAAAATCATTTGCTCACACAATGATTTTTAATCTAAATCTCAAATTTCTTTTCCAAGATAGTCTTCATTTATATCTCACTTTTACTAAATTATTTCATTCTATGATTAATAGATATCTCTGACACTAAAAGGAATTAAGCAATGTCAGCGATCTGAAAGTCATTTTCAAGCAATCATCTTCCATCAATTTCGGTAAATAGAACTAAAGTAGTCCAATATTACCCTGATTTTGTTTTGTTTATATCCACCACGATGAATTCTAATTTTCATTTGAGATCTATATTAGATACCAATAGCCTCAAACTTTTGCACAGAAAGCTTATAAACAATATCTGGTGCTGTGTTTTCTCTTTCAAAATATTCATTATGGTGTTGCAACTGCATTTTCCAGTAAATTTAATATGGTTCCCACACGTGTTGAAAAGAGAGTCCTGTCTTGCATTCTGGAAGTTTGGGTTTTAAACTTTTCATCGTATAAAGACAAAATACCGATATATAAAGACAGCATACAATGAAGAAGTATGATCACAACATGAACGTTATCCACCAAAGGCAGCTGAGGCGTTCCATAAATTTTTCATTAGATATGAGGAAATTTTTAGTCCATTTACTTCATCGGTCGTCGCCCGCGAGGAGGTTCAAGAGCATTTACTCTAGAGTTGCAGAGAAAGGAGTTGATGTTCCTCGAATATCTGATTTGTATCTCTTCGATATATATATATATATATATATATATATATATATATATATATATATATATATATATATATATATATATATATATATATATATATATATATATATAAATTAAAATTATTTTTACTCTGTCCCTTTGAAAATTTTAAATAGTCTATTTGTAAAACTCAAGGAAAGTCCTTATTTGGATTCTTTGCCACCAGAATACAGGCTCGACTCTGTGATGATGGATATTGCAAATCATAGGCTTTTTAAACCGCCAAGTTTCACGGAAGAAAATACTGCTCAAACAACCCGTTTGTTTCTTAAACTTCAAAATGCCAACAAAGGAATTGAGGCAGTTAATATACATATATTCTTAATCACAAAAGGGTCAAGTCTTGCATTCCACCGTAGTTTTAGAGAATTTGAAATCACAAAATTTTACAAAAATCAATAACATCAGAATACACGACTTTTCAACACTTTAGACAACCATTCCCCACAATAAATGAAAGTCCAGGCTTTTTGACATCATAGGCAGCTGCTTTTTAAAAATAAAAATGGAACTCGTGAATATACTTACCTTGTCATTGGTCATTTGCAAAAATATTTTCTTAAAAAACATTTTGATTGTACACACAAATACTCTGAAGTTGATATTAAAAAGATGGTTGAGTTTTTTGGGAAATCAGGTCATCAAACAATCTGTTGAAATTCCCTTGGGTACTAATTGTTCCCCCTGATTAGCAGACCCATTTTTGTATTTATATGAAGCAGAATTTATTCAAAAACTTCTACATCAGAAGAAGAAAACTCTTGCTGTGGCCTTCAACTCGACATTTAGATATATCGACAACGTATTATAAATTAACAATTGTTACTTTCATTCATATGTCGATTCGATATATCCCTGTGAACTTGAAATGTAAATCATATACGGCACCAATTTTGATGCACGAGATGCGCATTTCGACAAATTATGTCTCTTCAGTGATGCTCATGCCGAAAGGCTGGAAATCCAAAATATTTAAATAAAAAAGACTTTTAGGGGCTGAAAAAAATGCCAAGGACTGGAGCCAAATACGTCGAAGGATCAGAGCTATGCAAGGGGGAGATAATCCTTAATTTTGATATAAATTTCTAAATTTTACCACAGCAATTGAATATATACTAAATAAAAGACACAACAGAGTGTGACAAATCTATTTCTTATATGTATATTTTACTAGAAAAAAGACTTTAATGGTAACCTTAAAACAAAACTTTATGATAAACATGATGACTTTAATTTTTCAATCGTCAACTTCCCTTACTTATGAAGCAATATACCCTTATCACATGTATATGAGGTTTATGTCTCCCAGTTGATTTGATACGCATAATCATGCTCCACGTACGATCAATTTTTAAAACTAGACAAACTGTCATCCAACAAGTTGATAAAACAAGGATATCAACAGTCTCGTTTGAAGTCGTCATTTCTATGGTCGATACAATGACCTTGTCAGCAAATACAACATACAACAGTCATTTGGTCAAATGCCAACTGACTTTTTTCTTATTAACACTGAAATTCCTACTGATTTTTTCGTTTACCCGATCATGATAAGGAGCACACGGCGGATGTGACCGGTCGACAGGGAATGCTTAATCTTCTATGGCACTCGATCCCGCCTCTGATGTTTTTAGAAGTCCGTGTTTGCTCTGTTCCCGATTTGTATTGTTTAAATGGACTATGAGCTTGAATACTGTTCGTTATCTCCATATTTCATTTTAGCTTCTGATTTCTAAACTGTTTTTCAAAAAGTCTGCAGAAAATAGATGAAGAAAAATACTAAGTATTGAAATCACCAATTCAATCGATCCCAATTAGATTATATGGAAAATGTAATCCTCTTGAATCTTGCACAAATGTCTGGCAATGTGCCAAAGGCACTTGATTCTGTAATAAATTGTTTAACCCATAGTATAATAATAATAACACAAGGTATCTAACTCCGAATTACATGGACTACCCCCTCCCCAGAATCGCAGCCATTTACACTTTCATAGAAAATGCACTGGCAAACTGTTTATTACAGTGGTTGTCTACGATAATGATAATGTCTACACAACCATGTATGGAATGCTTGTCTTTATTTTCTTTTATCTCCGTAAACAGTCTGCTGGAAAATTCGACTCGCACCATGAAAAGGTATGTACTACTGCCTGTGTAATGTATCTCAATTTTTGATGAGGAAACTTGTTACGTGTTATGTAGTGATACTTCAATAACAAATTCAATCACAAGTTCTAGGGGAAATATTATATATTATTGTCATCTGTCCTTAAACTTTCCTATGTTCGATTGAAATAACTTGTACATTACTGAGTAAATTTTAAGATTTATAGGATTCTAGCCCTTTAGGGTAATAATAAATCTTTATGGGGAAAAATTGGTACCGGTAATAACTGTTTCTTTGTCAACCCCTTAGCTCAATTACATTGTTTCATTTTTTGCCGAAAATGTTTGATTCTATTGAAATTTATTGAAATTTTTCCAATTTTAAGAAAAAAGATGAGATAGCTAACTTTTTTCTTCGATGTTGTCATATTATGAACTCTATGGAAATTGAAAAAGTGGGGATTTTATCCTATAACTCAAATTGTGACTAATGGGTAAACTGCTTATTCTATTTATTTTCATTAATTGTTTTCTATTCTTTTTTTTTATTTCATTTCGTGAAATTTTATTGCATTATTTTATCGTCACTTTGAACTTTATGTTTTGCATTCTTTAGTTCTCTTTCGTTTGTAGTGTTACTTCTCTAAAATTCTAATACAGCAAATGAATTATGGTGTTGAATATCCTTTGTGGGAATACAACGAATTAAAAAAAAGGAAAAACAAACTTTAAACAACTTCGATTTTTTTAAAGCAAATTAATTGTAATTAATCTTCAATTACTGTGATTAATTGGATGCTTCTATTTACTCTCACTATTATCTGCTTCCAATCTCCGTCATCTGCTGACGTACTCTATAACTCAATGAAAAACCACTTAAAACACAATCCAAAAATCATTATTTAATCACTGCTCTGTCCACTCGCAGAACTGAAACAAGAAAAATATTGATCGCTTGGACAACGTTCTATTTAAACAAAACAGAAATTAACACTATATTTGTTATACATTTCAGTGCATGATTGATAATTTCATAAGGAGCGGTCCAAACGTGTTTAGGTTTGATTGAAAGGTATTTTTGTAATGCTGGTTATTTATAAAAACATACACAAATGCTCTGAATTTTTAATATTTTTTTTATTGCAAAATACATATATTTCCCAAAAATATTCAGTTTTTTAGCTTTATTAACATTTCATACTTTGACAAATTCTAAAACATTTGGTTTACAATGGTAAAACTTCGCAATAAACTTTTGTTTCAACAAATAAGTACACAATGAAATGCATCTTCCAAACAATTAAACCATTTTTTTTTATTCAATTATAAACAAAAACAAGAAAATATCAAATTATTGGAAATGAATGATTGATTAATTGTATATTGCCTAACGCCGAATCGACAGTATTTCAGCCATACCTCGGTGTGAAGGTTATATCATATAGCCGGTTTTTGAAAGTTTTTTGGGTTTCTCTGGCGGCCCCCGGTGAGCTTACTCTTTTTCGAAAACCGAGAAACAATCTTTTGCGTGCCAAGGGGGTTGCAATCAGTGACACGGGTCAATGAACGTCCCATCCGACGGACTAAAAAATTTAAAAATGAAATATAAAGGACTTCACGCAGTAAAGGGGGCACTCCATGTATTTCGGAGTTTGATATCTTGTGTTGTTATTATACTATGGGTTAAAAATTTAATACAGAAACAATGTGATGGGTAAGCTTATCTAGATTATCAAACTGCATATTTAACTTGATTTAATTTCTTTTTTCTCTTGGGATCTGAGGTTTTATATTTTACAATTTTAAGAACCATTATAAATAACTTCCACAAAGAGTATGTAAACATTTCGTCAAATATTTTGATACCATCCCGCGTATAGAAGGTTTTTATACCAAATTACTTCATCAATGCTAACAGACATTCTTCCACTCAGTTTAGATGTGAAGATCAAGAACAGCAATCATGTTCACAAGTTTAGTTTAACAATACAAAATGTGATCAGGGCAAACTCTGGAAACAGGACCAGTCACCTCCGCCGTGAGCCCATTATCTTGATAGGGTAAACAGGGATAAATCTGTTTAAAAAAATAATAATAATGGCGTAACAATTTGTATTAAATTCGTCAATCAACATTCGACTTAGCAACACGTTGTACTTGCAAGCAATGTCATTCTATAGACCATTGAATTTACGATGTGTTGACTTTAATGGTAAAATTCCATACCCTTGTAACATCAACTTATTTGTAAGTAGCCTGTCTCGTTTTAGAAATTATACGTAACATGCTCATCAAATCAACCTGGAGACATCAACTCCATATACAGGTGATAATGCTATATTGCTACATAAATAAAGTGAGTAGACGATATAAAAGCTAATGTCATCACGTTTATCATAAAATTTAGTTGTTAATTTGCCATTAATAATTTTTGTCTAATTAAGCATCCAAATATGAAAGAAATGGGTCAATGCCTTTTATTTAGCGGAATATATCAAAGAAACGTATGACTGAAAACAAACTGAAAATTGTTTATTGATAAACCATCGCTGATATATCTAAAGTGAAAGCCACAACAAGAGATGTAAAACTTTTTTAATATATTCTGCTTCATAAAAGTCTTAAACAGGTCTGTTAATAAAGCGGCAAAATAAATCCCCACGGATTTCCAGCAGATTGTTAAAAGACCTGGTCTCGAAAGGCTACATATAATATATAATGTTAAAGAAGAACTCAGCATCCTTTAGTGTCAAGTTCAGGAGTACCTGTGTGTACAATCAGAATGATTCAACCTCTAAAATTTCCGAGGGTCCTTATTTTATGCCCTGTTCACTAATGTGTATTGTTTTAAAGATTTTTGAGATCGATCACTGTTTATCTTCCCCTTTTTCACAATATTGATTGAACTGACCCATAGCTAATCTTAAGGGTACCAGCAATATATTGAATGGTCATTCGACTGTCGTTAATCACCATTTGATGGACAGTTTTACCTTGAGTTTCAGAGATGGCATCTCGTTAAAATTCAGCAGTTCATTTCCATCACAGTGGAATATGTTGGATATTCATCGCCTAATGTGGATTTCAGACCGTTATTTCCCTGGGATTCATTTCTTTGTTGTGAAGAAACTAAATCACAGTTGACCGCTCATAACTCTAACTTATCCATCTCAGAAAATCCACCACCAGCGACCAACCTGAGCAAAATCTCGTTATCAGAACAGCTTATACAGGAGGATATTTTTCACCAATAGATTTCAGTTCTGACATACATGTAGATATGAAACTGAAATGAGAGGAAATCGTGAAAGCTATTGTTCTTTGAGACCAACCTTGGTAATTCAACAATAATAAAGTGTTATCACACGGTCAAAAATATTGAAATTTATGAACCTTTTAATCGATGCAGAATTTTTTTTAAAGGGTTAAATGTAAAATCAAAAATCGCGGGACTGACACTCGTGTTTTGTGTGTGTGTGTGTGTGTGTGTTCTCTCTCTCTCTCTTTCTCTCTCTCTCTCTCTCTCTCTCTCTCTCTCTCTCTCTCTCTCTCTCTCTCTCTCTCTCTCTCTCAAATCTTCTATATGAAATTAAGGAATTTCGTTGCAAATTTAAGGTTTGCTCATGATCCTAGAGCTATCTTTTAAGAATTTTTTTTTTTAAATTATTTTATTTTTGCTTCACCTACAGTACCGAAGTACTGATCGAGTTAACTATTTAGTTCGAGTTCCAAACTCTAAAGCTTTGAATTTTGAAAAAAATTCATGAAAACAATAACTATACGGATTTAATTTCTCTATGCATGGAGATTGCTGTATTTATAAGTTGATGTATGATGCAATGATTGAGTTCAGACTCGCAGAACCATTGTTCACTGATTTACGTTTTCTAACTTAATTTGTTTGTGGTACCGCCATCCCATCTATTTAAAAAAGTGCTAGTGGCATACTGCATAAATATTTTCAGAGGTTGTAAAAACAAAATTGAAGTTAAGTTACATTTTTTTCGGGGGGGGGGGGGTATTGAGACGTGCGTTAGGGGTAGGGGTTAGAAACCTACTGTTTGCGATTTTCCTAACTTAACAATGTACACGTTATTCATTGTACATCTATACATGTCTGTACTATTGGAATTTGCTTGTATTCAAAGCATTTATTTACATTTAAATTTTAAGATTTAAAATTGCTTTCAAAAAAAGTCAGAATCCAATCATTTTGTTACTCTAGAAAACGGCATAATTGGTAATATGAATTTACATTGTTTGTTTATATGTTCATTAACCCATTTGATTAAAAAATCAACAACCACTTGGCGAATTCTGAAATATACCTGAAAATTGATTTATAGGATAAATCAATAAAGCAAGCGCAGAATTGATTCCTATTGTAAATTTTAAACCATATGCAGAAAATCGCTTCAATGAACGGTCACCATTAAAATGTCACTTAAATTGTATTTCTTTACATTATTTCCAGTTCTGGTGGAATCCTTTTCAAAATTACATGGACAGCATTTGCTAGGACATTCTTTCTTGACCCTTGACAAAATGGGGATACAGATGTGTGTTAGGCGATGTGAATCGTACAAAGGAGGGTGTAAATCTGTCAACTTTGACAGGGATCATCTGGTCTGTGAATTAAACACTTACAGTTCCACGGACAAACCGGAAGACATGTTCGAGAATCCATCGAGTATTTACGTCCAAGTTAATCTGACAAGTGTGAGTACATGTTGGATTATTTGATAATGTTTTATTCATATGTTGATAATATTTGCTAGATATGTCATAGTCTATGCAAGCATTCATGTATGTATATTCAAACAAACTGAAGATACGGGAGAATACATGGTTTGTCCGTATAAAAACTGATATTATCTATCCCGAATGGCTAATTAGCATTTTCTCAAATTTTCGGGCGGTCATTACCTTTACATTTTATCAAATTAAAGGACTAATGCCGAGAACAACTCATTACCGCTACATACCGAATTGGCCGACAATGGCACGGAATATGAGTTCCATTCAATATAATTCACTCACCATGTAGTAAAGTAAAATTTGGATCTGAATTTTAATCAAAATGAGTATATAAGACCGTAGAACATTAACTGGCAAATTTGGAAATATGCAGCATACGTCATTTCCTTCTGTTACAATCAAAACATTTAATGATAGACAATGGAATGGGCGGGTACAATTCGGCACGGTCGTCCGAGAAAACATTGGATTGAAATTTTAGTTTGAAATTCTTTTTCAATCCACCTCAGCTACGCTAGCAGGTAATGTGTTACTGATTGACCCAGAAGACAAATAATTTCAATTTCGGAATATTTTGAAGTTTAAATATATAAATCAGAAGTACTGATCAGTATTTTTAAAGAAATATAAACTATAAAGGGACAAATATTTGATTTTTGTTAGGTATGTGCATGCATGTGTTTGGGGGATGGAGGGGGATGATCGCTGAACGATCTTAAAATTGGAAATTTAAAAAAAAAAAGCTTTTGATTGTCAAACATTTTTCAGTGAAGACAGAATTGAAGAAAATATCTCCTGTTATCCTAGAAATAAATATATTTTGTCATGTGACTTCAAGGCATGATCTGACGAGACAATTTTTATCCCCCCCCCCCTTTGTAGAATCAAATAGCCATCCCCTGAAAAAATAATCTCTGTATTCTATGACTTTTACGTGTCCTTAAAATTATAGACTAAAACTCATATAAACAATGATAAATATGAATTTCAAACAGTATGTATTTGGGAATTGAAATTATTTGTCTTTTGGATCATACATTCACACTCTGCGTTTGAAAACAGCTCAGGTGGATTGAAAATGAATTTCAAACTAGAATTTCAATCCAATGTTTTCTCGCACGTCCGGTGTAACGACGAAAAGTCACCCCCGTAGAATATTGACCGGGGGGTCAAATTTCTCCGTAGAAAAATGACCCCCCGGTCAATTTTCTACGGCAAGTAGGGTCATTTTTCGACTGTAAAAAACCCTTCCAGGCCGGTAATTCTACGACTCCACACACGTTGAAAATGACCCCCATAGAAATCTGACCCCCTACTTTTTCACTATATTTTATAATTAAACCTTTAGAAATGATGTGTGAAATGCGTTAATCCGATGTTGGGGAGGGTCGGTGAAGGCCTAGAGTCTCCTGATTTTTCTTTCAAATGTATATTGGAGGAGGAGCAAAGTACCTTCCCCTACTTAACGCCACTTCTCAATACTAGCATGATATACAATGTATATGGTATGGTTATTTTTGCTATTTTTTACATCCAATATATATAATCCATTTTGGGTTTTTTTTCTTGCTTTTTTTCTCACAGGTTTTGTTCCAAAAATGACATGATATGTTTCTGACAACGATATACATGTATGGAATGGATGTTATCGGAAACGATTTAAAGGACAAGTTTGTGGCCCCATACTTCTAGCTTAAAATTTGTGCCCGCTTTCAACCTACCTCCACCCCAGCTTTTACATGTATCAGTTTCTGGATACACCATTGCATTGAAACAAAAAACGTATTGTATTATTATTTTTAGACAAGGAAAAAATTGCTGCTTCATTTTTAATATCATATAATATCTTTTTCCCTCTTTTAGGTTCATTTATCCTTATTTATTACATGAATATTAATACCCCCGCTTCGAAGGAAATGGGGGTATATATCTTGTACCCTGCGAATCTCTCTGTTGTGTGTGCGGGGTAAGCACTGGCTCATAGATTTGCTGTTTTCACTGTAATTTGTGTACTTACAATTATTGTCTGTATAATTATATTATCTCTATTGTAGGGAAAAACGAATGTATCTAAATAACGTTAACTATGAAACACTATATATATTGTTTGTATCAGGATCGCTATATGAAAAACACTGATAGTCTCTAACAAAAAAACCCTATAGTTTACCAAAGTTAACTATAGTTTAATGCAGTATCAAAGTTTTCACTATAGTAAATCAAAGTATTTTTTTGAATATATGATTGTGGTATTTTATGCTCTTAAATTTATATGTGCACAATTTTTCTATATTTTAGGGAACTACGAGGGGTAATCAAAAAGTTCGTGAACTATCTCGTTAACAGTTCAGATCAAAATGAAATTTGGCACACATTTAGTCATAAACATGTTCTATAAATAGCAGATATGTGCTCCACGTTTGGACGTCACAATATAAATATAACTCAATATGTAGACGACGTGACAAAAAATAGTTTACTCAGTCGTACTTGATCAACGAACGGCTTAACGTTTATCTTAGAAATTCCTTTTCAGTAGCATATAATAATTTGTACACGATTTATGAAGACAAAAAGACATGGCAGAAGTTCAATCATTAATTGGATTGATTGTTTTAGTGAAGGAAGGGAGGTGGTAAAAAGTATGTTTGTTCTGGTGCCCAGTGAAAGCAAGCTTGGGGAGAGATGTGTCCTTAGTTGAGCAATCTGTAACGAAAAATCGCCAAATTGCATTAAGAAAAATAGTTGAATATCTTAACAGTAATAAAATTATTGAATCCTTAAAATATCGTTTACCTTAGATTTTAAACATATCATATATGATAAAAAGAAGGCGCCCATACTTTATCCACAATGGATAAACGACGCACCCCAATACAAAAGAGTCGGGTTGTGATGGTCACTATGCTCATTTTGGGAAAAGATATCCTAATCCACCAACTCTATTTGTGACAAATGGGCTGTTCTTGTTATAAAAAATAACTTGCATGGTAAGAAATATAAAACTCGGAAAATTTTCTTAATTTCTGTGAACAGAACGCTACGGAGCATGTCACGTGAACGCCTGGATCACGTGATTCGCGCATGGGCAGATCCATTATAATAAGAAAACGTGAAATAAAATTTCTAAGTTAAAAAATAAGCCGATTATCCAATAAAAAGATACAACTGAAAGATAACTGAAAGGCCACTGAAATGTATCTGCCATTCAGTCGACTGAATGATAACTGACAGACCACGGAAAAGTCACAGGAAAGGAACTTTTCAGTGACCTTTCAGTGGGCATTCAGTTACCATTCCGACGACTGAATGGTGTAATTTCATCCTGTGAGAACGATGGCAGATGTGCATTCAAATCGGAGAGGACCAATTTAAAAAATAATAAACATCGAAATGTGATTTTATTTCTTTTATGGAAGTAATTCAATTAGTTCGCGAACTTTTTGATTAGCCCTCGTATTTCTTGTTCATTATCATCCCAAAATTTTACAATACTGAGGTTCAGCTTTGAAATCTCAAAAAAGTTCCAAACAAAGTTTCATGGTTAATCAAAGTATTTGCTATAGTTAATAATAGTAAACTATAGTTAACTACGAGGGTTGATCGGTAAAATCGTGGACAAGTTGTCTAGAGTAAAAAATAATCATCACTACGTTCTAAAATTTTCACTATTTTCTAGTACACTTTTCATCAATATACATAGCAAATTTCAATTAGATATGTGCTCAAATAAACAAAATATGAGACTTTATGTTATGTGTGGTATCGCCTTATGGCGCACGTATGATAACGTCAAAGTGTATCAAGCAGCGTCACGTTTCCTCTGCTAAAAAAAGTTGGGTAAGCCCCACTTAAATTCGAAAATTTCATTGATGCACATACTTGAGTTCCCCTTTATTCCTCCATAAACGGTCAAGAAACCAATCTCTCACACACATGGAACTTTCTGAAGATTTATAAATAAGTTATGGACAGTACTCTCACTATTATACAACTAAATAGGCTGTCTTATATCGATGTTCTACAGTGACAGCGTCTCTTGCTATTGCCAGTAGTTGTTCGTTGGTATGTTTCGTTATACCCGGGGACCCGATCAAAAAGCTTCTGCTTAGAAAACTCCCATTTCACTTGTATATTAAAGATCTAGTGATATTTTTTCTTCTTTAGTCATTTAAAGTTTCTTAGGGCGTAATTACTACATCTAAATCAAACGGAACCGCTCTCCGGTGCGCCGTAACGTCACCAAACATTGCCATTTTTCGCTTGTTGCGTTTACCACTTTCCCATTTCAAATGCTCGGGAAACTGCCAAAGTTTAAGGAAATGCCTTAAAAATTTACAGAAGACGACATAATAGATAGTGGATTAAAAATAGGATAATTTTTACCCCAACCTTATCTATTTAGTACTTTTATTTCGAAATAATACGCGGAACTCATGTATTTTCAAATGAAGCCCTAGTTTATTTATCGTGCGCCGTAGGATCGTACCCTGTGTACATTCAAGCATAATAAACACTTTGTTTTTGTCTATATTTTATCCAAAAAATTACGATGCACTTAAATATGATAAATAAACAATTGTTGAAAATTTCAGATTAGTGCGCCCATTATTTTTCGAGAAAAACGCTTTGTTAACGATTTTACAGGACAACTCTCTTATAGTTTACTATAGTAAATTTTTGTTAGGAGTGCCCTTCGATTGTGATAGAAATACTGGCAATATACTCCCCTTCCTTGATCATTATATAGATAGATGTATAATCTACATCACCATGCACATATGCATTATGTAACTCCTTATAAGAGGGATTTTTAATGTAAGAAAAAAAAAAGATTTTTGTTTACTTTTATCCTAAAAATTCTTATATTTTTAAAACCTCGTATCAAACAGCAAGATCACTTAATTTGTGCATAGGAAAGACATGCCGGATTTTTTTCTATAGGCTAGCAAATTTAAAGA